CAGGTCCTGGAGGGGTTCAGGTCCTAGAGGCGTACAGGTCCTGGAGGGGTTCAGGTCCTGTAGGGGTTCAGGTCCTGGAGGGGTTCAGGTCCTAGAGGCGTACAGGTCCTGGAGGGGTTCAGGTCCTAGAGGCGTACAGGTCCTGGAGGCGTACAGGTCCTGTAGGGGTTCAGGTCCTAGAGGCGTACAGGTCCTGGAGGGGTTCAGGTCCTAGAGGCGTACAGGTCCTGGAGGGGTTCAGGTCCTAGAGGTGTACAGGTCCTGGAGGGGTTCAGGTCCTGTAGGGGTTCAGGTCCTGGAGGGGTTCAGGTCCTGGAGGCGTACAGGTCCTGGAGGGGTTCAGGTCCTGTAGGGGTTCAGGTCCTGTAGGGGTTCAGGTCCTAGAGGCGTACAGGTCCTGGAGGGGTTCAGGTCCTGGAGGCGTACAGGTCCAGAAGAGAAGGAAGATTGCAGCCAATCACCTTCTCTGCAGAGCGAATGATGCGCTGCAGCCTGTCCTTGTCCCTGGCGGTGGCAGCAGCGTACCAGTTGGTGATGGAGGAGGTGAGGATGGACTCAATGATGGCGGTGTAGAAGTGCACCATCATTGTCTTTGGCAGGCTGAACTTCTTCAGCTGACACAGGAAGTTCATCCTCTGCTGGGCCTTCTTGGTGAGGGAGGTGATGTTCAGCTCCCACTTGAGGTCCTGGGAGATGATGGTGCCCAGGAAGCGGAAGGAGTCCACAGTGGTGACTGGGGAGTCACACAGGATGATGGGGGAGGGTGGGGCTGGGCTCTTCCTGAAGTCCATGACCATCTCCACGGTCTTCAGAGCGTTGAGCTCCAGACTGTTCTGGCTGCACCAGGTCCCCAGATGGTCGATCTCTCACCTGTAGGCGGACTCATCCCCACCTGAGATGAGCCCAATGAGGGTGGTGTCATCTGCAAACTTCAGGAGCTTGACAGACTGGTGACTGGAGGTGCAGCTGTTGGTATACAGGGAGAAGAGAAGGGGGGAGAGAACGCAGCCTTGAGGGGAACCGGTGCTGATGGTCCTGGAGTCAGAGACATGTTTTCCCAGCTTCACGTGCTGCTTCCTGTCTGTCAGGAAGTCAGTGAACAGAGGTGGGTAGTTACGAGTTACATGAACTCAAGTATTGCCAGAGTAGTTTTATTAATGCATCCTTCCTCCGTTACTTCTGGACACATTCATCGTACTCCTTTTATTTACTTTTTATTTTATGCATTCATGATCTGTCAGCAGGGCTGGGAGGGTCACTTTAAAAATGTAATCCGGTACAATTACTAATTACTAAAAATCAGTAACGTAAATCTAAGTAATCTGATTACTTTTACTTACTTTTGGATTACTTCAATATCAAATACGCAAATAAAGACAAGAGAGTATCAAAGATGCCTCGTCTGCTCAGTGGATTTTTAGAGAAACATATTTATAAAATATCCAGTTCCCCTGAAATGAAAATCGATATTTAAATGTTTTTAAATGTTTTTGCGCTGGGCCTGTACGTCATGTGACAGGATCTGGACCATCAATGACATAAAATGTTTCTTAGTGTGTGTCATTTCCTGGAAATTTTAAAATGTTGATGAATCATCCAGCTCAGGGGGGCCTGGATTCTTTCTTATGAAGCTGCTGAAAAATAGTGTTTCTGGGACCGGGCACCACTGATTACTGAACAAAAGCACAACTTTATTGACTGATTTTACTGAAACTGGATCGTATTTGATGGAAAATGTTTTTATGGTTTTCGCTCTGATGTTTTCCGGTGTTGTGCCGAATTCTGCCTGCCTGCCGAGAAACGCATGCACCTCTTTTCTCATGAATGGCCGTTATCACCCGCGAGGTGCATGCATTTCATCTCATTAGCTGACTCAGCCCCGGGGTGACAAGAGCCGATCTAGCAAGAAAACCACCTTCCTACTCCATTCCCCGGGGTCAGACCGGCCTCCGTCGGTCTCGGAGACTGTGTGCGGTCCCGGGTCCGGCTGCCGTGTTCACTGTCTGCGTGACGGGGTGGGGCTGTAACCACATTCAGCTACTGGCTACATGCCAATCAATATGTGCAACAAGTCCCTCCCCAGCTTTGTGTTTTTACAGGAAACAGCACACTGAAGTCAAGCCAGCCACCACTTCAAAAACGACAGTCAAGCCAGCCCTTGCGCTGTTTTGCGATGCGTGTTTCTTCTAGGCATTACGGTAACATCGTGTCACAGCACATTTCAAAATAAAAGTGAGCTTCTGCTGAACATAATGCAGTTGATGTGGCAGAAACGATTGAATAAATAAATAAATGCTAGACACCACAAGTATCTAAAGAAAATATTACAGTCTCACAGAAAGCTTACTACATTCAGCCAAGATTCAAACTCATGTAAGAAGAAAACCTTCTGTTTCCACTGATTCATTTCACTTCACGGTGACAGCAGACCACCTCAGGGAGGCCCTCTGTCAATATCAGAGCAATCTGATGTAGTATTCTAAAGTTACAGCCCTCGAAAGTGTCTAATATTTTCACTATTCGCCAAGATTCAAATTGACGTAAAAAGGAAACTTCCTGTTTCCACTGACTCATTTCTACCAACTTTCACACATTTCACATTGGATCTACAAAGGACAAGGTTAAAATTTCAAAGATGATGACCTTTTTCAACAAATGAAGAAAACAACATAGTGCCAGTCTCTGTTTACTGTTACACACACACACACACACACACACACACACACACACACACACACACACCACACACTAGATTTCCATTTCTACAATAAACAAGTCACAAGAACAAAGACTATGACAGTGTCATTGGATTGGACAGATTACCAACATCATTAATTGTTCTAACTGGACAAACTGTGGAGGTGGACAGCCACAAAACAATCATCCTGATAATTCATTGATTTTAATAGAGGTCTCAAGTTTGAGGACCAGTACTTCTATAATAGGCCTACTAGTAGTCGACTGTGTCGGCCTTATATGGATTTTACCCCTTTCTGTCTGTCATCTTGGTCAGCGGGTTGTTCTGTTGTTCGTTTCTAAGCTTCTGTAGGCACAGCCCTCAGGTTCCCTGCTCTTACTACCGTGTTACATTATAGGTCCACTGTTTTATAATTAAAGGTTATTTCATCTGTACGTTCCAAAAATTGAATTACATTTTGACTGAGACACTTTCATAGGTTTAGAGAAAAGGTACAAGGTTGTTTATTAGTCATTTTACAGCACTAGGCTGCATAACAAAACAAAATTTGTAGTTCATTCATGATACACACACAACATATATTTAAGTGTAGGCCTATATGAAAATATGGTAATATATTAATTAAAATAAATCAATATCTAAGCTACAATTAGGCTATTTATATAGGCTACATAAATAGCCTACATACACGTATACATCCATCTTGACTGCGTTTGAGATTGCTCTGATATTGACAGAGGGCCTCCCTGAGGTGGTCTGCTGTCACCGTGAAGTGAAATGAATCAGTGGAAACAGAAGGTTTTCTTCTTACATGAGTTTGAATCTTGGCTGAATGTAGTAAGCTTTCTGTGAGACTGTAATATTTTCTTTAGATACTTGTGGTGTCTTAAGCATTTATTTATTTATTCAATCGTTTCTGCCACATCAACTGCATTATGTTCAGCAGAAGCTCACTTTTATTTTGAAATGTGCTGTGACACGATGTTACCGTAATGCCTAGAAGAAACACGCATCGCAAAACAACAGGGCTGGCTTGACTGTCGTTTTTGAAGTGGAGGCTGGCTTAACTTCAGTAACACAACTGGGTTTTTTTCATTCAACCTTCTGCTTAAACTAATCCCCGTTTTTAGAAAATGTACCTGTAATCTGATTACGTCTTTATTTTCTGCACTGTAACAGAATACTTTATTTTTGTATCCTGATTACGTAACGCCTAAGCGTGGTCAGCTGGTCCCAGGTCTGCCGGTGCTCTGTGTTATCCTACCACAGTCAGGCCTCCACGTGACTCTGCTCAGAGCAGAATAACAGCTGAAGCTGCAGAACAGCTTTCAGATAGCAGCTAATATTTACAGCTGAACCTTTACTGCAGCGTGCAGCGTCTCACCCCGGGGGTCAAATACCAAATGTATTCTAAGAGATAACAATAAAGATTGTATATGTATAACAGTCTTTACTTATTGCCGTGTCTCACAGACTATAATATTAATGTAGTATTTTGTGGCCACACGCTGGGAAAACTGTCCTGGTGTTCATGTGGCAGGTTCTCCGATCAGGAGATGATGACTGAACGTTTGATCACAGATAAATCCAGGTGTGTGTTCTTTACCTTTACCTGAGGAAGACCATCAGAGATCATTCCAGTCACATCCGCACCAGATAAAATACTTTTGTTCTCTTACTCAATGTAAGAGATACTCAATATATACTCAATTTCAATGACCAGTGTACTTGTATTGTAGTACTTATTTTTGGAAAGTAACCGTACTTTTACTTTACTTACAGTTCCTGGCAGCTCTACATCACATTTATTCATTTATCTGACGCTTTTATCCAAAGCGACTTACAGCTGCTCTACATGTCGGAGGTCGCACGCCTCTGCGGCAACGAGGGGTTAAGTGTCTTACTCAGGGACACAATGGTGGATGGGTCACAGTGGGAATCGAACCCGGAATCGAACCTTATCTATGCGCCGCCACCACCACCACCCACTACCCGCCTCTTTGATCCACCTGCAGGGCCGGGAGCTGAAACCCACAAACCAGATCCTGCCGTAGGTTCCTGAGGAGTCCAGGTGCTGGAGGATGGAGTGAAGGGCCATGTTTACTGAACTGTTGGCTCTGTACTGCAGGGGGTCCAGGACTGGGTCTTTGATGGATCTGATGTGGGACAGCAGAAGGCGCTCTCACAGTTCAGGGCGGAGGGGTCTTCCGTCATTCAGTCCTGTGGTCTTTTGGGGCCGGGGAAGGTGGTGGTGCGGGTGCAGGGCGGTGCGTGGTGGCTGCACAGGGGGGAGGGTGGAGTCTCACCGCTGGGCGACAGAGAGGAAGTCGGGCTCCTTCAGTTTGACTTCGACAGTCTGAACAACAACAGAGAGAGAGATGAAGGTTTATTCTCTGCTGCTGTCGATCGCCCTCGGCTGCTGCTGCTCTGCTGAAGGTCAGGAAACAAACTTTGTTTACTGTTTGTTTACTGTTTGTTTACTGTTTCTTAACCAGGTGTTACTGCCTCATTAAGGGTTAATTATCTGTGGGACTGAAGAGACAAACCATGAAACAAAACAACAGAGGGTTTCAGTGTTTTCATGAATATCTAATTATTATTATTGATTAACAAACAGCTGTCGGATCATTAACGACCTGCTGATGACAGAAAAAAGTGTGTTGAACAGAAGCTGCTTCTGTTTACAAAGATTAATTCAGTTCAGGATGTTTCATTGATAAATGTTTCCCTTTAACAACGCCTGAATATTAATATTAGTTTTTAAAGGGATCAAATATAACGTGTAGTTTTAATTTGAGTCCCTCCAGTTTGTTTGAAGTTAAACACAATAAAAACTTTTACTTCTTCTCTTCAGTTAAATCTTTTATGGGATAATTTCACATCATTTATATTAAAACTTCTGTCGGTCACTGCAGAGACGAGCTGAAACTGAATGTTCATCAGCACGTTTCTGAGAAGTCAGGAAGAGATTTAGTGACATCAAACTATAAATCAGTGATGGGACGAGTTTGCATTATCAACAGATAACTTATAGATCCGATCCGTGTCTTCCCCATCAGGACGCTCTGAACTCAGCTTCTTATAGTAGACAAAGGCAGGACGTTTGGTTGAAGTGTCCCCTCGTGGACTCAGTGTCCTCTAATGGACTCTCAGTGTCCTCTAATAGTCTCAGTGTCCTCTCATCAACTCAGTGTCCCCTCATGGACTCTCAGTGTTCTCTAATAGTCTCAGTGTCCCCTCATGGACTCAGTGTCCTCTAATGGACTCTCAGTGTCCCCTCATGGACTCATAGACTCAGTGTCCTCTCATGGACTCTCAGTGTCCCCTCATGGACTCAGTGTCCTGTCATGGACTCAGTGTTCTCTAATCGTCTCAGTGTCCTCTCATCGACTCAGTGTCCTCTAATAGTCTCAGTGTCCCCTCATGGACTCAGTGTCCTCTAATTGACTCAGTGTCCTCTCATGGACTCAGTGTCCTCTAATAGTCTCAGTGTCCTCTCATGGACTCAGTGTCCTCTCATGGACTCAGTGTCCTCTCATGGACTCAGTGTCCTCTAATTGACTCAGTGTTACCTCATGGACTCTCAGTGTCCTATAATAGTCTCAGTGTCCTCTCATCGACTCAGTGTCCTCTAATTGACTCAGTGTCCCCTCATGGACTCTCAGTGTTCTCTAATAGTCTCAGTGTCCTCTCATGGACTCAGTGTCCTCTAATAGTCTCAGTGTCCTCTCATGGACTCAGTGTCTTCTAATTGACTCAGTGTCCCCTCATGGACTCTCAGTGTTCTCTAATAGTCTCAGTGTCCTCTCATCGACTCAGTGTCCTCTAATAGTCTCAGTGTCCTCTCATGGACTCAGTGTCTTCTAATTGACTCAGTGTCCCCTCATGGACTCTCAGTGTTCTCTAATAGTCTCAGTGTCCTCTCATCGACTCAGTGTCCTCTAATAGTCTCAGTGTCACCTCATGGACTCTCAGTGTCCTCTAATAGTCTCAGTGTCCTCTCATGGACTCAGTGTCTTCTAATTGACTCAGTGTCCCCTCATGGACTCTCAGTGTTCTCTAATAGTCTCAGTGTCCTCTCATCGACTCAGTGTCCTCTAATTGACTCAGTGTCCCCTCATGGACTCTCAGTGTTCTCTAATAGTCTCAGTGTCCTCTCATCGACTCAGTGTCCTCTAATAGTCTCAGTGTCCTCTCATGGACTCAGTGTCTTCTAATTGACTCAGTGTCCCCTCATGGACTCTCAGTGTTCTCTAATAGTCTCAGTGTCCTCTCATCAACTCAGTGTCCTCTAATTGACTCAGTGTCCCCTCATGGACTCTCAGTGTTCTCTAATAGTCTCAGTGTCCTCTCATCGACTCAGTGTCCTCTAATAGTCTCAGTGTCCTCTCATCGACTCAGTGTCCTCTAATAGTCTCAGTGTCCTCTCATGGACTCAGTGTCTTCTAATTGACTCAGTGTCCCCTCATGGACTCTCAGTGTTCTCTAATAGTCTCAGTGTCCTCTCATCAACTCAGTGTCCTCTAATTGACTCAGTGTCCCCTCATGGACTCTCAGTGTTCTCTAATAGTCTCAGTGTCCTCTCATCGACTCAGTGTCCTCTAATAGTCTCAGTGTCCTCTCATGGACTCAGTGTCTTCTAATTGACTCAGTGTCCCCTCATGGACTCTCAGTGTTCTCTAATAGTCTCAGTGTCCTCTCATCAACTCAGTGTCCTCTAATTGACTCAGTGTCCCCTCATGGACTCTCAGTGTTCTCTAATAGTCTCAGTGTCCTCTCATCGACTCAGTGTCCTCTAATAGTCTCAGTGTCCTCTCATCGACTCAGTGTCTTCTAATTGACTCAGTGTCCTCTCATGGACTCAGTGTCTTCTAATTGACTCAGTGTCCCCTCATGGACTCTCAGTGTTCTCTAATAGTCTCAGTGTCCTCTCATCGACTCAGTGTCCTCTAATAGTCTCAGTGTCCTCTCATCGACTCAGTGTCCTCTAATCGTCTCAGTGTCCCCTCATGGACTCTCAGTGTTCTCTAATAGTCTCAGTGTCCTCTCATGGACTGAGTGTCCTCTAATAGTCTCAGTGTCCTCATGGACTCAGTGTTCTCTAATAGTCTCGGTGTCCTCTCATCGACTCAGTGTCTTCTAATTGACTCAGTGTCACCTCATGGACTCAGTGTCCTCTAATAGTCTCAGAGTCCTCTCATGGACTCAGTGTCCTCTCATCGACTCAGTTTCCTCTAATCGTCTCAGTGTCCCCTCATGGACTCTCAGTGTTCTCTAATAGTCTCAGTGTCCTCACATGGACTCAGTGTCCTCTAATAGTCTCAGTGTCCTCTCATCGACTCAGTGACTTCTAATAGTCTCAGTGTCCTCATGGACTCAGTGTCCTCTAATCGTCTCAGTGTCCTCTCATCGTTTCAGTGTCCCCTCATGGACTCTCAGTGTTCTCTAATCGTCTCAGTGTCCTCACATGGACTCAGTGTCCTCTAATCGTCTCAGTGTCCCCTCATGGACTCAGTGTCCTCTAATAGTCTCAGTGTCCTCTAATAGTCTCAGAGTCCTCTCATGGACTCAGTGTCCTCTAATAGTCTCAGTGTCCTCTCATCGACTCAGTGACTTCTAATAGTCTCAGTGTCCTCATGGACTCAGTGTCCTCTAATCGTCTCAGTTTCCTCTCATCGTTTCAGTGTCCCCTCATGGACTCTCAGTGTTCTCTAATCGTCTCAGTGTCCTCACATGGACTCAGTGTCCTCTAATCGTCTCAGTGTCCCCTCATGGACTCAGTGTCCTCTAATAGTCTCAGTGTCCTCTAATAGTCTCAGAGTCCTCTCATGGACTCAGTGTCCTCTCATCGACTCAGTTTCCTCTAATCGTCTCAGTGTCCCCTCATGGACTCTCAGTGTTCTCTAATAGTCTCAGTGTCCTCACATGGACTCAGTGTCCTCTAATAGTCTCAGTGTCCTCTCATCGACTCAGTGACTTCTAATAGTCTCAGTGTCCTCATGGACTCAGTGTCCTCTAATCGTCTCAGTGTCCTCTCATCGTTTCAGTGTCCCCTCATGGACTCAGTGTTCTCTAATCGTCTCAGTGTCCTCTCATCGACTCAGTGACTTCTAATAGTCTCAGTGTCCTCATGGACTCAGTGTCCTCTAATCGTCTCAGTGTCCTCTCATCGTTTCAGTGTCCCCTCATGGACTCTCAGTGTTCTCTAATCGTCTCAGTGTCCTCACATGGAATCAGTGTCCTCTAATCGTCTCAATGTCCCCTCATGGACTCAGTGTCCTCTAATAGTCTCAGTGTCCTCTAATAGTCTCAGTGTCCTCTAATCGTCTCAGTGTCCTCACATGGACTCAGTGTCCTCTAATCGTCTCAGTGTCCCCTCATGGACTCAGTGTCCTCTAATAGTCTCAGTGTCCTCTAATAGTCTCAGAGTCCTCTCATGGACTCAGTGTCCTCTCATCGACTCAGTTTCCTCTAATCGTCTCAGTGTCCCCTCATGGACTCTCAGTGTTCTCTAATAGTCTCAGTGTCCTCACATGGACTCAGTGTCCTCTAATAGTCTCAGTGTCCTCTCATCGACTCAGTGACTTCTAATAGTCTCAGTGTCCTCATGGACTCAGTGTCCTCTAATCGTCTCAGTGTCCTCTCATCGTTTCAGTGTCCCCTCATGGACTCAGTGTTCTCTAATCGTCTCAGTGTCCTCTCATCGACTCAGTGACTTCTAATAGTCTCAGTGTCCTCATGGACTCAGTGTCCTCTAATCGTCTCAGTGTCCTCTCATCGTTTCAGTGTCCCCTCATGGACTCTCAGTGTTCTCTAATCGTCTCAGTGTCCTCACATGGAATCAGTGTCCTCTAATCGTCTCAATGTCCCCTCATGGACTCAGTGTCCTCTAATAGTCTCAGTGTCCTCTAATAGTCTCAGTGTCCTCTAATAGTCTCAGTGTCCCCTCATGGACTCAGTGTTGAGTTTTTAAAAATGTATTAATAAAAGCGAACAAACAGAGAAGTACTGTGGACTCCGGCCCCGAGCAGAGGGATGCATGATCCTTAACACAGTTTGGGTTTCTATGTTTTGGCTGGTCCCAGTCAAGGCTGGGAGAAGAACAGCTAGTGAGGAAAACAATAAAACAACTTCCCATGTCTGTCCTAAACCCTGCACATGTGGACAGACCAGGATGCTGAGAGTAATAATAAGAGCAAAAGGTTAAAGATTAAAAACAGTAAGTAAGACATAATAATAATAAACATAGTACTATTAAAAGTACTTGCCTAAAAGATTATAAGAGAAAGAAAAAACATGATGGTATATACAGTTTGGTTAGTGGCCATCGGTTGTACTGTATTCAAAGTGCATTCTGGGATACACTGAGCGGACTATATAGGCTCTAATAATTATCACCATACATTCGGACGGGCCTGTAAAACGGCGAGCTCTCC